ACTCTGCTGAATCTTTCTGGTAGCTCCAGTAGTTTTCTCGTGGAGTCTTTAGAGTTTTCTATGTATAGTATCATATCATCTGCAAACAGGGACAGTTTAACTTCTTCGTTACCAATTTGGATGCCCCTTATTTCTTTTTCTTGCCTTATTGCTCTAGCTAGAACTTGCAGCACAATGTTAAATAGGAGTGGTGATAAAGGGCATCTTTGTCTTGTTCCTGTTCTCAAGGGGAATGTTTTCAGCCTCTCTCCATTAAGAATGATGTTGGCCGTTGGTTTTGCATAGATGCCCTTTTATTATGTTGAGAAATTTCCCTTCTATACCTGTTTTATTGAGAGTTTTTATCAGGAATGGGTTTTGTACTCTGTCGAATGCCTTTTCTGCATCAATTGAGATGATCATGTGATTCTTTTCTTTTCCTTTATTTATGTGGTGGATTACGTTGATTGATTTTCTAATGTTGACCCATCGTTGCATAGCTGGTATGAATCCTACTTGGTCATGGTGTATAATTTTTTTGATATGGTGCTGACTTCTGTTGGCTAGAATTCTGTTGAGAAGTTTTGCATCTATATTCATGAAAGATATTTGTCTGTAATTTTCTTTTTTTGTGGCGTCGTTGACTGGTTTTGGTATCAGGGTTATGCTAGCTTCATAGAATGAATTCGGAAGTGTTGCTTCCTTTTTTATGTTCTGAAATAGTTTGAGTAGTACTAGTAGAAGCTCTTCTCTGAATATTTGGTAGAATTTTCCAGTGAAGCCATCTGGTCCAGGGCTTTTTTTTATTGGGAGTTTTTTAATTACCTTTTCAATCTCTTCTCTTGTTATGGGTGTATTCAGATTTTCAACATCACTTTGTGTTAGTTTGGGTAGGCATGTGTTTCTAGAAACTTATCCATTTCCTCTAGGTTTTCAAGTTTGCCTGAGAATAGTTTTTCATAATACGTCTTTTCACTTTTTTAATGGTTTCCTTTAATCACAAAAGTTACTAATTTTTATGAAGCCCAATATTATCTACTCAGTTTCAGGACATTAGCTCATCTAATACCTAAACCATATTTAAAATTTCCAGTTGACCCAAAATGCTGTTTGCAGCTACTTTATCCAAACCAGTGTCCAGTCCAGGACCACATGTTGTACCTAGTTGTTATATCCCTTTAATCATCATCTTTTTTTTTTTTTTTTTTTTAATCTGGCACTGTCGCTTTTTTATGATACTCACTTGTTGAGCAAACCAGGCCAATTATTTTCCAAGATGTCCCGTCTTCTCAGTTTTTCTGGCTTAGTTGAGGTGCCATTTAGTTTGTTGCTTTATCCCTTTTAGTTCATGTAAACTGGAAGTTTATAGCTAATGAAATCAAGTTTTGGGTAAAACATTTCATAGGCGATGTTGTATTGTAAACTTCATGTTGCATCATTTTACAAGATCTGTAAAATCTGATTGACCTATTAGTGGACCATTACTGATATTAAGATGTCTCCCTGGATTTGGGTGATGACAATTTGATCCCTGCGTTTGTACAGTTATGTTGTACCCTTTGTGATTAAAAAGTAATCTATGTGCTGTTTTGGCTGTATGAATGTCCAGCACCCCATCATGCATTTATCTAATAGTTTTAACGCCAATTGATAATCTTTGTCTGAACTTATAATTTCATTAAAATTATGAAGTTCTGTTTTTCTGAATCTTTTGTTCTGTATTTACTAGCTTGCATTCTTCTGTGAAGTAGAGCTTTTACATATTAACTGGGATTATTTGTTTACTCTGAATTTTAGTTTCTATTGGAGAGACTAGATAAATACTTAATTCTTAAAGTTGCCCATTTTCAAAATAAGGATTTAATAGCTGCCTGAAGTTGTGACAGAGGTTTTTTGTTTTTGTTGCTTTGTTTTACTTTGTTTTTTTAGTATCATTTTCTACTTACAGCTTTTCATTGATTCAGTGTATATAGTTTTGAAAGTCAAAGAGTTTTATGCCAAAGTTTATGAAGTAAAGTAGCAATTCTCTTACTCTCCCCTCCCTATCTTGATTCCTGTTTTCCAGGAAAAATATTTTCGAACCTTTAAGCTACTTAAGGTATTTACTTTCTGTTTCAAATTATTATGCTGTTATGTCTCATGTTTTTCCATTTTATTTATTATCTGTTGACTATGTATTGTGGAAGCTGAAGATTACGCTCTTTCATCTTCTCTTTTGCATATGTACAACATTCTCACATTTCCTTCCCTCTTCATTGCCTTCCCAAATGGTTCTGTCACAATTTTGATTAAATTAATATGCAGTGTTAGTGTTATTCTTGCTGAACTGCTCACAGCTGATTAGAAAACTGATCAGTTATCTTTTTGTACCACTTTTTTTCCCCTCTGCGTTGTTAGTTAATTTGATTTTTTTTATTTATTTAATATTCTATGTACCTATCATTAACTCAGGCGCCCTGGCGGTGCAGTGGTTAAAACGCTCAGCTGGTAACTGAAAGGTCGGCAGTTGAAACCCACCAGCTACTCCACAGGAGAAAGATGTGGCAGTATGCTTTCTTAAAGATTACAGCCTTGGAGACTGTATGGGGCAGTTCTACTCTGTCCTGTAGGGTTGCTAGAGTCAGAATCGACTTGCTAGCAATGGGTTTTTTGTTTTTTTTAAATCACTAACTCAATCCCAAACTTAAATACAACTGCAAACCTCCTCTCAATAAAGGCAAACACTAAAGATTATCTTTTCAGTTCCATTTTTTCTTTATAAGATCCCTTCCGGAACTCTCCATCCTCTCCTTCCTCTCTAGATGTGCCTGCTCCAGTTATTATCCTAGGACTTTTATTAACCATTATTAGGGAAATCCTTTTTGTGTTTCACAGATTGGATCCCCCATTTCCTATATCTCCTGCCTCTCTATTCCTTGGCATACTCCTTCATTTTGTGAGTATATCTACCAGAAGATTTCTGAGGAAGGGTGCAAAGAGGCAAAATTACTGAGATCTTACTTTTACCTTCACATTTAATTGGTAGCCTGGTTAGAATCAGAATTTTAGTTTGGAAATCGTTCTCCAGAATTTGAAGGCATTGCTCCACTGCTTTCTGTTTTCATTATTGCTGTTGAGAAGTATGATGTTATTCATAGTATGTTACTTGTTTCTTCTCTGGAAGGCTTATGATCTCTTCTTTATTCCTGGTGTTCTGAAACTTTACAGTGATGTGCCTTGCTGTGGTTTGGGTATTCCATGGGGTCGTTGAGTCTAGAAATTCATGTCTCTCAGTTCTGGAAAATATCTTGTATTATTTCTTTAATAAGTTCTCCCTCTGTATTCTCTGTTCTCTCTTTTAGGAACTCCTTTTGGATGTTGTACCTCCTTGTTTAATCCTCCAAGTTTCTTATTTTTTTCTCTCTTATTTTTGATCTTTTTGTTTTATTTTCTGGAAGATTTCCTCAATTTTCTAACCCTTCTTTTGAACTTTCTGTTTCTACTGTCATATTTTTCATTTGGATGTAACAGTTATGTAAGTACTATTTCCTGTTCTCTGAATATTCCTTTTTATAGCATTCTGTTTTTGTTTCAGAGGTACCATCTCTTCTCTGGAGCCCTGGTGGTGCAGTGGTTAAGAGCTGTGGCTGCTAACCAAAAAGTTGGCAGTTCGAATCCACTACCTGCTCCTTGGAAACCCTATGGGGCAGTTCTACTCTGTCCTGTAGTGTTGCTGTGAGTTGGAATTGACTGGATGGCAACAAGTTTGGTTTTTTTTGTTGTTGTTGTTGTTTATAACTTCTCTTCTCTGAGAGTAGTAATTGTGTTGGGATTTTCTTTTTTGTTTAAGTTTAATATTTCCTTCTGTTTCCTGCATTGTCTATTTCTTGAGCATTTATTTGTTTTGCCCCTTTTTTGTCTTCATTAGAGTCGTTCCTCACTTCCTGGTGGTCTTTAGCTGTCCAGCTGTATTTACAAGAGAGGAACTGAAAAGCTAATGGGAAACTTTGTGTGCATGAGCAAGGCTTACTGCTTAGCAGATCTTGGAGCAGGTGATAGAATAGTGGCCTGCTATAGATAGATTTTGAAGTAGGTGGTAGAGCAGGAGCCCAGTTATTTTTTTGGGAAACCTCCCTCAGTTATCAGAATCTGTACCTCCTTTGGTTTGGACCTCTTATTTTCCTGGACAGGAATCCTCCAGGGGTATAAGCTTGGGTGTCTGTGTTTTGGAAGCCAATTAATGGCAGAGGGCTAGAGCTTTCACTGTTGCGTGTGACACTTTAACTAAATCCCCTCTTTTCAGTTGCATCTAGGATTCTGGAGTCTAGAAATTCTATTTTAGCATCCAGAGAGTAAACTTCCTGCTGCTATGGTTGTGAAGAAATCATCACCTTGCTATGCTGGCTGAGCAAGTAGTTGTTGTTGATTTGACTGTTCTTATACATACTTCTAACCCAGCAGACTCTTTTTACACCCGTTTCACATATGACCTTTAGAGATATTTAGGACCTCTGATATCTGAACCTTCCTGGTGTTCTGTGATAATAACAACAACAACAATAATAATAGCTAATATAGTAACTCATTTAATCCTGCCAAGTAAGTACTACTATCCTCGTTAAATAGGAAATTGAGGCAAGCACCTACCCAAAGTGTTCTAGCAGGAACGTGGTGGACTCAGGATTTGAAAAAAATTAGCCTTTCTTGAATCTTGCACTGCCTTTCAGTATAGTCCAGCTTGCTTTATATTAGTTACCCCATTCCTAGAAGCCATTACATTTCTCTTCTCTGCTAACTCAGTTACTGTTAGTCCATGCTTTTCTGCTTCATATTTTTTTCTCCTGTTTGTCTCTGTGTTTATACCTATTGTATTTTTTCACTGTCATTTTGGGAACTGAAGGTACAGAGGTTGATACTTGTGTTCAATCCATGTTTTCAACTGGAATTTCTCTTAAGTTCTTAAATACTTTGTCTAGTTTATACTTTGTTTTGTTGTTTCTTCTAACATCTCCATGACTTATTTATGCTTCCATTGTGCCCAGGTTGCCGGACAGGTGAAGCAAAATTGACAAAAGGATTTAATCTAGCTGCCCGGTTCATCATTCACACAGTGGGACCTAAGTACAAGAGCCGCTACCGAACAGCAGCAGAGAGTTCCCTGTACAGCTGCTACAGAAATGTGCTTCAGTTGGCAAAGTAAGGCTTCCTCATTTCCCGGACATCTCATGCCATACATAGTTAAAGGCCCTGGCTTTAAAGATGAAACCTAACTACAGAAGTTGAATTTTTAGGGACTTAGATAATTTAGAGGGACCCTATAGGTAAAATTATCTTTTCAAACATAGCAGGCTGAGTAGAATAGCACTGGGTGGCTTGACATCTTAACCTATTTCCATTTTACATAGTCTTTAATTGGAATATGTATATATATCCCCAAAGTGGTACAGTTAAATTATATGTTGATATAATTATTAAATAGTGTAATTAGGTTAACTGTTATAGTAGATTTGTTGAAGGGGTTGTTGTGAGTTGAAATTGACTCAATGGCAACGGGTTTGGTTTTTGGGGGTGGGGTTGAAGGTGTAAGGAAGGAGAGGTTGAATTGTATTTTGAAATTAGTTACTTATTATGTATGTAGTATGTATGTATTATGAATGTTTTTGGTACAATTTTTGTGTTTTCTGTTTGATTGCAGAGAACAGTCAATGTCTTCTGTTGGATTCTGTGTCATAAATTCTGCAAAACGAGGTTATCCTCTAGAGGATGCAACACACATAGCACTTCGTAAGTAATATTAGAGATGCTGTGCATAATATGAGTCTTAAAATTTTATTTATCACTAGTTGCATAGTTAGGAGTCCCCAGGTGGCTCAGATAGTTAAGTGCTCAACTGTTAGCCAAAAGGTCGGCAGTTTGAACCCACCCTGAGGTGCCTCATAAGACGGGACTGGTGATCTGCTTCTGAAAGGTCACGGCCTTGAAAATGCTATGGAGTAGTTCTACTCTGCACACATAGGGTTGCCATGAGTTGGAATCGGCTTGGTGACAACTAACAACAATAGCTGTATAGTTATAGCCAAAGTAGATTAACTAATCATGGCACCCTGGAGGGAAGTTTCTGTTGATAGGAGGCGGGGCTTTCAATTTATTTTCTTGGGGTGACATTTTTGTCCACTTGAATGAAGGCTTAGAAGACTTACTTACTAGCTTTGAAAATAATACCAAGCTGGGAATTAGGTTCAATGCATTGAATAGTTGAGTCAAAATTCAGAATAATCTTAGCAAGACTAAATTAATGAAGTCAGAACAAATTTCATAATATCATATTTGTATAGCACTTTGCAGTTTAAACAATAGCTTTCATAACTGGTATTTAAGTATAAAACCCTACATTTAAGTTTAAAAAACATCTTGGCTCAGTCATTATGAACCCACATGTGATATAAAATATGTGATATAAAAATATGGTGTGTAGCTCAAGAGGGGCCATAATTCCTACTGTATTATATGTAAGTTCAGACCACATCTGGAGTTTTGTATATAGTTCTGGGTATCATATCTCATGAGATAACTGACAGACTGGAGGGCAAGCCATTTGAAACATTAGTACTGTTTCTCCTAAAGGAAAGCATGCTTTCAGCAAATATGATGCCCATCTTCGAACATCTGAAGGATTCTCATTATGGATTTATTCTCTGCTGGCCTTTTAGAGCAACAGTTCCTAACTACGTTGAGAATCTGATGGAAGAAGAGCTACAAACCATTTCCCTATACATGTGTACAGAATGCGCATGTTATTTCAGGAAGTTCACAGATCCTTGTAAGGACTGTGGATAAGAACTCCAGCTTTAGAAGCAGATCTAAGACCAAGTTACAAAGAGGAGAATTTGGTCCTATTTGAGATAGGACTATCTGTAATACAAAGGTATTCTTTTAGTGAACTTCTTGTTCCTGGGAGCATTCACACAGAGGCTAAAATGACCATCTACTGCAGGTATTATAGAAAACATTCCTTATTTGGGAGGGAAACTGTACTGGACGATCTTTAAAATCCTTAAGAATCCTTTCTGTCTCTAGAATTAAAGATGAGGATCTGAAAGTCTTATATCAACCCAAAATTACAAAGATATTTGAACATATAAAATTATTATTATTATATAACTTACAATTTAGGGTGAGGTATTGTTCAGTCTTACATACCTATTTTTAAAACTAAGATCCTTTCTGCTCAAAGATTTTTTAGTAAGTTTATATTTTGCTTTTATAGTTATAGTTTTCTTGCACGCACATTACGTAGACCGTGAGCTTCTTGGAGGCAGGAAGCTTATCTTTTCGTCTTTGTATTGCCGTTGATTCTGTATGCCAAGAATGCTTGACATATGGTACATGCTCAAGAAATATGTATTAAATAAAGGGGCAAATAACAGTTAATTTTCTTAACAACTCACCAGGGATCCTTTTAGGTGACAGGTTATCCACTTTACAGAGGCTTAGCAGTTTCTCGTGTTCCACAGGTTATGCAGACTTGAGACAGACATCCAGGCCTTCTGACTCCCAAGTCCAGTAACTTGTGTATTATACTAGATAATTCATTATTTTTGAGTTAAAACTACTTCAGTGGTAGACTGCTATGTTATAAAAACCAAAACCAAACCCACTGCCATCGAGTTGATTCCAACTCTCAGCGACCCTTTAGGACAAGAGTAGAACTGCCCCATAGGGTTTCTAAGGCTGTAAATCTTTACGGAAGCAAACGGCCACATCTTTCTCCTGCAGAGTGGCTGGTGGGTTCGAACTGCCGACCTTTTGGTTAGCAGCCACGCACTTTAACCACTGAGCCACCAGGGCCTATATATATTTTAAACAATGACTTACCAAAGCAAGCTTCCTGCCTTTATGTCATTTCTCATGGCAGGCTTCAGCACATCTCAATAGTCTTAGTAATAGTTAGTCCTTGCCCTATCATCTCATAGCTTGAGTTAAACTGCCTTTATGTTTCCATTTCTTTTTAAAATAATCATATGGATTAGAATTTAAAGAAGCAGCATCATATTGTAGACACAGCTCTAATAGGGAGTCAAGAAGATTGGGTTTTAGTCCCAGATCTACCAGTCCACTGTAGCTCAGTCACATAATAGAGTACCATAAGAGGTGTAAACTTGAGCAATAATTGGAAACAGCAGATAAAGAACAATAGTGGGTATAAGGGACTTTGATGAAGCAATTTCTAGAAATTGACTTAGACAAAAGGAAATGTGGAGCTCTTAAGGTGAGCAAGTTAACTTGTAATTTATAAGGCCCATTTGACTTATTACACCTTACATCTAGTAGCACAACTACAGCATCTCATTAAAAAATACATACACACAAATGCACACACACCCCTAGACAATTTTGCCCTTCGCTCATATACTCTGAAGCATTTGGAAAACAAATGGCACATACACTTTCGTAGCATACATGGGTCAAGAACAAATCTAATGATGTAGCTCTTAAGTTTTAGTATCAAAAGCTTTCTTATTAAACTGTTAACAGAAATTTATTTCATCGTATGAAGATTTTTTTTTTTCTTAGTTCATGTACATGTATTCTCCGGAAGAAGTCTAAAGAAACACCTGCATTAAAATAAAATTATCAGGTCATTTACTTACTCAACAAAAGTTTGAGTGATTAGTATGTGCTAGGCCCTGTCCTGTATATAAGAAGATACAGTAGTAAGGGAAAAAAGATGACAGTGTTTGTTCTTGTTGAGTTTTCAGATTGAGCATTTTAATGTCCCAAATGTCATTCTCACCATTTAAAGAGTATCCACTAAATGTTAGGTACGTGGCATTCTTGTTGATTGCAGAGACTCGTGCACGGATGAAATTTTGGACTCCTTAGAGCAGCAGTTTAGACTAACAGAACTAAAACTTTTTAGTCATTCCATCATCCTTTTTTTCGCCTTGTGCAAGATTACTTTTCTAAATGAGCTCTACCAAGGATATTCAGTTTGGTTACTATTTAACATTATATTTTCTCTTCCAAAGGAAATGCCACAATTCTACACTGGGAAACCAACTCTTATGTGTGAACATTAAAACTGTTATGTGTGGCATCGAAGTAAATAGCATTAAAAAAATCCAATTTTGAAAGCTTGTTTTTAAAAAAAATTATTAAAGCAGAATAGAGGGAGAAATGAAAAATGAATTTATCTAACAGCGCAAGAGTCATGAATGTTTAGTCTTTTGGCAAATGGTTCTATTCTATTAGCTTCTCAAGATACAGTGGTGAACAAGGCCAGCAATATGTAGATAACCAGAGCCATAAAATGTCAATTCAGTTACCAGTTACTTTTGAATGATTAGTTGACATATTCCTATGTGTGCTAGGCCCTGGTGATATTAGTCTAAAATATACTTGGCCTTCAAAAAGTTCAGTCTACCTATAAAATATAGTGAAAAGTTCACTAACAGAAGAATGTTCAAAAGGTTATAGGGGCACACAAGGAAAGATGGCATTCTGCCCAAAGGAGATGACTTTTGAATGGGTCTTGAAAAATGAGTAGGCATTCACTAAGAGAGAAGAATGGGGCTCAGAGGGGTGAGTGGTATTTTAGTCAAAGGTAACCATATAAGCAGAGGCAGAGCAACATAAAAGTTAATGGCACGTTCTGAGTATAGCAAAGAAGCTAATACGACTAAAGCATAAGGTATATGAGAGTAGTGATTGGAAACAGGACCAAGGGGTGGGAGGGGGAGGTTGGTTGAAGTCAGAGGGCAGAGAGCCATGCTAGGGACTTTGAATCTTAGCCTGTAAGCAGAGCAGAGTCATCAGAAGTGTTTAGTAAGAAGAGCAACATAAGGGAGTAACTCAGGCAACAGTGAATATGTAGACTTGGAAAAGAAAGAAACAGGTAGACCTTATTGTCAAAGTCCGTGTGAGTATTGAGATGCTGAACCAAGGCAACTGGAATAGAAAAGGAATAGATGTTAGAAATATTAGCAGTAGAATTAGCAGGACATGGTAATCAATTCAAAATGCAGGCTGAAGGAAGAGGTGAAGGAAGTATCAAAGAAAATTCAGGATTCTAACCTAGGTGACTATTTGGATGTTGCTGTGTATGTGAGTTAAAGAATAAGGTAAAGGAGCAGGTTTTCAGGAGAGAAGATGGGGCTCAAGTTTGGGCCTATTGGAGTCAGATTGGACACATTGAGTTTGAGGTCTGTGTAGGTTATCTGGGCAGATATGCCTAGTAGGCAGTAGGAAATACAGGTCTTTTTTTCAGGAAACAGTATAAAGATTTGAGAGCCATCAGCGTTTCATGTAATACCTGATCAGGAAATTAGCAAACTAAAGAGAGTATGTATATCAAGAAAATAAAAAATGTTGAAACATATTTAAGAAGATGTGGAGGACATTTTAAAAAGGTAGGAGCACGGGGGTTATGGACTAAAGCTAGGGCGATCTCCATAAAGTTAAAGACTGAGAAAAGGACATTGGGACTTATTATTAGGAAGTTTATGGGGCAAAAATCAGGATAACGTAGAAATTAAAAATAACAATTAAGCTTTGATTTGGTGGGGTTTTGTGGAGAGTAATGAAGAGCTGAATAGGACTCCTGATACTGTAACTGAATCATTGGAAAGACTGTTGTACTAGATAATTCTGACCAAAGAGAGAGGCCCTAGGAAAAAAGATTAATATGCTGGATAAGGGAGAACTATGGCCTGGCACTATTCTAGATGCTAGAAATATAGCAGTAAATAAAGTTTTTACTATTGTGGGGCTTTCATTCTAGTGCGTGGGGTAGAGAAGGGCAAGGAGAACAGACAATAAACTAGAAACTCCATAAAATGTCTGTTACAGGTGCTCTGGAGGAGAGCAAATAGAGGAAGGGTCTTTATAGTGGTCTGGGCAGGCTTCACAGCTAAGCAGAGAACTTAATGAAATGAGGGAACAATCCATTACAAAAATAAAACCTTAAAGAATTTGATTTTTCTTTACACAGAAGTAATTTTTTATTTATTAATTCTTCTGTTGTTTTTCTTAGGTACTGTAAGGAGATTTCTAGAGATTCATGGGGAGAACATTGAAAAAGTAGTATTTGCCGTCTCTGAACTTGAACAGGTATTCTACTAATTATGTTGCATTGTTTAAATCTTATTTTTAGTTGGATTTGTCTTTTTCTCATTGTTACTATCTGTTTAGTGAATTGCCAGTGGGAAAATCCTAATTCCATATATATTGTGTATCTATACATATATGTAGTGGCGTTTACAATCATTCATTGGGAAGGACTGTATATGAGAGATGAAAAACAGCTCAAGGAGGGGCATTTGTTCATATTTTCACTGCTAAACTGTTTCTGCCAGTGAAATCTTAACAAAGAAGAGTTGATCTGCTTTGCCCCCTAGGGCAACTCAAGGCATCACCTTAAAACCTAAGCACTGGATGTCTGAGAAGTATAACTGGAAAATGCTGCTATGCTGGCAGAGCTTTGCTATCTACATGACCTGGAAACAGGTGACAGCCTAGCCTAGGGGCTGGCACTGAGTAGGTTGTGAGGTTTACATGTTTTATTGTATATAGTTAGGGTTAGTATATATCAGTTTAATTGAGAGCTATTTTAGAAAACCGTTCTTAATTTTTATCTTATTAAGCTATATTTAGTTTTAGTGAGCTCCGTCCAATTCACTTTCAATTATTTCCCAATTCTGTGTCCTTGGGCAAGTTACCTTTGTGTGCTAGGGAACATAGGAATACTAATGGTATCTAATCAGAGGATGTCTGTGATAATTAAATGAGTTAATACCTATCAGGTATCTTTTCAAAATATGTGTAACTACATAAATGATATCTAAGTACTTTTGAATTTGATGAAATGAGACACAGATACTTTACTTGCTATCTTCTCTTGTTCTGGCTTATCCATTCATTCATTCTACCAGTGAACTTTCATTAAGTGCCTAGGCTATATTAGATTTACTGTATTAGATTCTGGTGATGCACCAGAGAACAAGTCATAGTCTTGTCTTCAAGGAGCCTATAGTCTATTAGTGGAGACAGACAGTTCAGACAAATCATGGTAATTGTGGTAAATGCATTGGTGGAGATAATGGGAAGAATGGGAACACTAACTCCAGCCAGTCATGGTCTTAGGAAATGCTTCCTATACAAGGTGATATGTAAGTTGAATTCATTCTAAAGGATAAGATTTGCCAAGGGAACGGCAAGTGGCAATATTCATTTCAAGCATGTAAGTAAGAAATATAGGGTGAGCGTGTTGCTGTTGCATAAAATATGAAGCTGGAAGTGGCAAAAATAAAAGCTAGTCAGGCAATATCACACAAGTCTTTGTGTCACATACTACAGAACTTAAACTCTATCAGTTAAGCATCAGAGAAACATAGAAGAGTTTTCAAGTAGACAAATGATATGGTCTAATTTGTACTGTAGCTGTGTAGAGAATGATTTGGAAGGAGAAAAACTGGTGGCAAGGAGAAGAGATTAGAGGTGGTTGCAGTACTCCAAATGAGAAATTATCAGGTTTGAACTAGGGCAGTGGTGCAGGTGAAATTTTTAAAATATTTAGAAAATAAATTCAGCTTGAGTTGGTGATTGATAGAATATATAGGTGAATTAAGGATAAATCAGAGGTTTCTGACTTGGATGAGAGAATAATGATGCCACCAATGACATCACAAGTAGAAAGGGGAAAAGGTTTTGGGGAGAGGAGCAGAGGAATTGAAGACAGATTCTTTTTTGTACATGTTGAATCTCAGGGGCCAGTGGAGCATCAAGAGCAGATGATTAGCAGGCCCTTACTCATACCAGTTTGAAGCTGAACAGTGGGGTCTAGGCTAGAGATTTGGCCATTGTCATAGACTAGAACACCAAGAACTGTTAAATAATAATAATTATGAAAAACTAAACCTGCATCCAGTGGACCCTGGTGGCATATTGGGGGTTAAGGAGGTGACAACTGAATCTTGACAGAGACCATGAGTATGATAAAGGTAAGGGATAGAGACAGGAGTGACAGGACTTAGGAATTCCAGGTTAAGTGACCTGCAGTTACCGGGATGGGAATCACGTTTTACATGACTGGCTAACAATATCCTTATCTTTGATACAAGAACACAGTAGAGTCCCAGACAGCATCTGGCCTGAGCTCAGAGTAGTGAGGTCTTAATTCTTGGTGGAGGCTGTTTTAACACTGTATGAAGCAGCACCAAGCACCACTGATGTCTGCTTTACTACATTATTTTTCATAAAATATCTTGCTTTTCTGACACAGGCTACCTACCAAAAGCTGCTACCTCTGTATTTCCCAAGGTCATTGAAGGAGGAGAGTCGGTCATTGCCACACCTTCCTACAGATATTGGAAATGCAGAAGGGGAGCCTGTGGTACCTGAACGGCAGATTAGGATAAGTGAAAAACCTGGTGCTCCAGAGGGTGAGTTTTCCTTTTTTTAATTTCCCTTTTGAGAAAGCAAAGGTACTGATAAAACACCAATCACCAAAGAAGTAGGAAGTCCAGCTTGATCTTTGGGAAGCTCTCTGTTGATATGCTAGTAGGACCAACACCAATTTAGAAGTTTTAGAGTCCTACTTTTTTTTTTTTTTTTTTTTCTACAAAAAAGATATATACATATACACACATACATAGTGTGTCAGATTTACGTTAGACGTTGGGGTTCAGTGGTGGATATAAGAAAATTCTCACCCTTACGAAGCGTATAGTCTCACGGAGGAGACTGCCAAGACACTAGTTAACTACCTTCTCATCTAAAATTTTCAACAGCTTCAACAGTGACCTCTAAAAGCCATGTACCTGCTGCTGTCACATGGATTCCGACTTATCACGACTATATAAGACAGAGTAGAATTGCCCCATAGGGTTCCCAAAGAACAGCTGGTAGATTCGAACTGCCAGCCTTTTGGTTAGCAGCCAAGCTCTTAACCACTGCACCGCCAGGCTCCCTAAAAGCCATACCCAACGTAAAATAGAAGGTCCCTAGGTGGCGGAAATGCTTTGCTCTGGACTGCTAACCTAATTGTTGGTGGTTTGAACCCACCCAGCAGTACTGCAGAAGTAAAGCCCTGGCAGTCTGCTTCTGTTTCCATCAAGATTACAGCCAAGAAAACCCTTTGGAGCACAGTTCTGCTCTGCACTCATGGGTTGTCATAAGTCAGAATCAACTCAACAGCAACTAACAATTTTAAATACTAAGACAAGAATATTATAACCATTTATTTTGTTTCTTTAGCTTGCAAACTCATGTAGGTTGAAGTATTCAGTAGAGCATGTTAGGATAGGAGCCCTTCTGAACCTGTTCTCTATGACAGCTTGTTCTGATCTCATGAGTACCTGTTTAAGGTTATAACTCCTTTCTGTGAAGACATGCCTGACAATCTTCAATGCTGGGACTTGATGTTGAAATTTAGTGGCTTAGGGAATTACTGTGACATTCCACACTTCTTTCAAAAATGAGCATCAGGTTAAAATCTGTAGAAGGCTACTCCTTGTCAGCAGTACGTAGACTCACACAACGTAAAGGTCAAGCATCAGGAAATTATAAATGGTGTGGCATCAGGAAATGTCTGTGAACCACGCTTTGCTGGGAGGGGCACCATGCACACTGGGGAGCCTCCAATAGAGTGACTATTGAAATATGCTCACCAAACCAAACCGGCTGCTGTCAAGTCGATTGTGACTCATAGTGACCCTATAAAACAGAGTAGAACTGCCACGTAAGGTTTCCAAGAGTGTAACCTTTACGGAAGTAGACTGCCACATATCTCTCCCACATGAAATATGCCCAGTCATTTGGAAATCCTCAGGCTTGCGATCACCACTATAGCATGTATCTCCTCCATAAAATGCATTTAGTATGACAAGAAGTAGTGAATAGCAAAACCAGTGTGAGATAGCAGTGCTGGACAGTAGATGAGACTAACTCATTAGCCAAGAGATCCCCTTCTATCTGCCATTCTCAAAGAGCGCTTGATTTGTGTTCATATCTCAGAAAAATACTCTTTCCTCATAGATATAGATCTTTTTGTTGTTGTGTGCCATCACGTTGATTCTGACTCATAGTGACCCATATGACAGAGTAGAACTGCCCCATAGCGTTTCCTAGGCTGTTAATCTTTATGGGGGCAAGATTGCCAGATCTTTTCTCCCTGGGGGCTGCTGGTGGGTTCAAACTGCCGCCTTTCAGTTAGCAGCCAGCACTTAACTACTGCGCCACCAGGGCTCCTTAGATATAGGCCCTGATGTTCGTAAATACTTTGAATAGTACTCTAAATCCGTTAAAATATATATAATCAGCTTTACTTTCAAGTTTGAAGGAAAAATAATTCATGGGTTTTTTGTTTTTAAATGAAAGCAGACTCTTCTAAGCTGTTGGCCTGTCATGGCTTGAAGGGGGCACTGAATAAATTTGTGGGAGTCCTAGCTAGATGACTTATGAGGCTGTACTTCAAGTGGTGGCATTGCCTTTAGGAGCTCCCCATGGGCTAGGGTTTTCTGTTTTTATTTTTTTCCTTTTACCCATTAAGGGAGTGGGCACCACTCTAAGAGATGATCTGTTCCTAAGGGACTGGCTTCCATGAGCCAAACTCACAATAATCATATGGTTAAATCAGAACATCAACTTGCTAATTCGTAGTGCGAACTGTAACTCTTATGGACCAGAATGTTTATATTGGCATGACCAGTGTAGAAAACGAAATAGGAAGCTAAATTATAATCAGAATGTTTCTTAATGAACATAGATTATACCCTGCTATCCTGATCCATCCATCTTCTGGCCAAGGGGCTGGACTTTACCAATCAGTCGAACAATGCCAGATAAATGCTCCCAAATTTTTATTTATTTATACTTTGGTTAGATACTGAGCAACAATCCATCCTTAAACCCAAGTATTGTATAATTCTGTCTTCCTGGTTATCATTACATTCCTCTCCTAAGGTTACACCCGGGTCACCTTGATTGATTCATGTATTCCTAAAATTTTTATCACATATAGACAGGCAATTTCTTTCATTATTTCAGTTCTACAGATGCCTAAATACGATTTCACTTTCATTCTCAAAGAATAATCTGACCCCAGTGTTTGGAGTCACCTCACAGCCATCCCACTGCAGTTTTCACAGTCTCTTGTAGCACTCGCTGCCTAATTTTGTCATAAGCTCTCTGTTGATAGTAGTGTTTTTTGTTACAGACCACCAAGAAGAGGAGGATGAAGGCTTGAGAGTTGATCTCTCTTTCATTGGCTCTCATGCTTTTGCTCGAATGGAGGGAGATATTGATAAGCAAAGAAGATTGATCCTTCAGGGGCAGTTATCAGAGGCAGCCCTACAGAAGCAGCATCAAAGAAAGTAAGGCAAACCCTTTTGGACTGAAAGATACACAAAGGCATGAGAAACAAGAAAGGGACCTTTTATCTGCTAAATGCATCTACATATATACGTATGTGTTCTAATTTTTGCCTCATGACAATTAAGTGAGGAAGATATTGTCCCCATTTGGTAGATGCAGAAACTCAAAGTTAAGTAATTTATCAGTGGTCACAGTTTAACATGTGTTGAAGCCAGTATTCATATGCATGTCTGATTTCAAAGGTCCTGCTCTGTCTACCAGAGCCCTGGTGGTGCAGTGGTTAAGAGCTCAGGCTGCTAACTAAGAGGTCAGCAGTTCAAATCCACCAGCTGCTCCTTGGAAACCCTGTGGGGCAGTTCTACTCCATCCTGTAGGGTCGCTATGAGTCAGAATTGACTGGACAGCACACAACAACAACTCTGTCTACCATATTGTAGTGCCTCCACGTGAGCATTTTAGTGTAAAAATAGAAACTAGGCACAAGAAGGACAAAGGGAAAGGCAGAGTTGCAAAGTTTTTACTATATTTATGATTAAAGTATAATCTACAGTCATATTACATTTAAAAAGATCTTTTATTTCTCCACAAATTATCCCAAGGACCTTATAAGGCATCTGGCCCATTCCATTTCTTCCAGGTGTTTTCTAAAACAAGAAACAGCTTCTGTACTTCTCTGGGTAAGCTTTTCCAAGCTTTCCAGGCTAGATGCTTTACAAAAATTTAAAGGAAAGAAAAAAGTAATCAACTACAAATGGCTAATGTAGGGTTAGTTCAGGAGGTAACATCTCATAGGGTTGTGATGAGCATAAAATAATATAATGAGCTTACCCAGCACCTGGTACTTAAAATGGGTCACTGCTTTTCTCTTTAATACTGAGCAAACTCATGACCTCTTTTACCTCTGAGTTTCGGTACATGCCATTCCTTTTCACTAAAATATGCTAATCCTTCAGTTCTTGCCCATCCTCCAAGTTTCAGCTCAGAAACAATTGCCTCTGGACACTTATCTCCTGCATCTAGAATAGGTGTCTCCTCCTGTATGCTTCTTTAACGGCCTGTACTTGCCTAAAGTGTAGAATAGCATCTATCACCCTGTATTGTAATGACGTCTGGTTGTTGTTACTCTCCATCTATAAAGTGGGAGTTGGGCTACATGATCTCCAGAGTCTGTTTCAGAATTAAAATTCTTTGTCCTGAGTCCATGGTCTTCTCTTTATTCTGATTTTATTTTTATAAATTAAAGCAAATTAGCCATTAGAGGGCACCAATGAACAGCTTTTCCAAAGTTCACTGTCAAAATCAAATGATAGTTTCAGTGGTTTCTAAGCTTGGCCACGTAGAAGAATCCTCTGGCAAACATTTTTTTAAATACATTGCCTGGGCTCCCCCTCACATGACTACATTGGGAACTTGACATCTACATATATTTTAAAACTTTTTCACGTCATGTCCATGTGCTTCTAGATTTGGGTCCCTCTTTTGATCTAGACCCAAGTGAAACCAAACCTACTGCCTTGAAGTCAGTTCTGACTCATACTGACCCTGCAGGATAGAGCAGAGCTGCCTCATACGGTTTCCGAGGCTGTAAATCTTTACGGAAGCATACCGTCACATCTGTCTCTCATGGAGCAGCTGTTGTGTTCGAACTGCTGACCTTTTGGTTAGCAGCCAAGCGCTTAACCACTGCACCACCAGGGCTCCTTTGATCCGGACAGTGAGTGGTTCTCAAACTTTTTGGACTCATATCCCTTTTGCACTCTTAAAATTATTGAGGACCCCAAAGAACTTTTGTTTGCATGAGTTATAGCTATCAATATTTATCATATTATAATTTGTTTGCTAATTTATTTAATATTAACAATGATAAACTCATTATGTTTTTATGAAAAATAACTATTTAAAAAAACTGAGAAGAGTGGCACAGTTACATTTTTGCAAGTCTTGCAGATCTTTCAGTGTTTGACTTAATAGAAGACAGCTGGAGTCTTCTATCTACATTCAATCTGTTACAGTAAGTTGTTTTGGTTGAAATATATGAAGAAAATTTTGCCTCAGATATACAGTTGGAAAAGGGAGGAGTATTTTAATAGCCTTTTCAAATAATTGGGGATATTCTTCTCTGATACTACATCAAAAAAAAAAAAAAACCCAAACCTGTTGCCATCAAGTTAGTTCTGACTCATAGCAACCCTATAGGACAGAATAGAACTGCCCGGTAGGGTTTCCAGGGAGTGGCTGGTGGATTCAAACTGCCGACCTTTCGGTTATGAGATGAGCTCTTTAACCACTACAGCACCAGGGCTCCTGATGTTACTGATGTTGTTAGGTGCCATCAAGGCAGTTCCAACTCAGTCTTTGTTATGCATGGGCTCATTGTTGCAGCCACTGTCAGTCCATCCCTTTGAGGGTCTTCCTCTAAGGAGCATTCTGGCTGTACTTCTTCCACGACAGATGTTTGTTACTCCGGCAGTCCATGGTATATTCAGTATACTTTGCCAGCACCGCAATTCAAAGGCATCAGTTCTTCGTTCTTCCTTATTCATTGTCCAGTTTTCACATGCATATAGGGAGATTGAAAACGCCATGGCTTGGATCAGGGCACCTTAGTCTTCAAGGTGACATCTTTACTTTTCAAAGCTTTAAAGAGGTATTTTGCAGCAGATTGGCAAACACAATGCGTCTTTTCTTTCTTTTTAATTGTACTTTAGATGAAGGTTTACATAACAAACTACCTTCTCATTAAACAGTTAGTACATATATTGTTTTATGACATTAGTTAACAACCCTATGACATGTCAGTACTCTCCCTTCTCCGCCTTGGGTTCCCTATTACCAGCCTTCCTGTCGCCTCCTGCCTTCTAGTCCGTGCCCCTCGGCTGATGTGCCCCTTTAGTCTCATTTTGTCCTGTGAGTCTGTCTGATCTTTGGCTAATAAAGGTGGACCTCCAGATTGGCTTCATTACTGAGCTCAAAGGGTGTCCGGGAGCCATGGTTTCGGGATTTCTCCAGTCTCTGTCAGGCCAGTAAGTCTAGTCTTTTTCTGAGTTAGAATTTTGTTCTACATTTATCTTCAGCTCTGTCCAGGACCCTCTATTGTGATCCTTGTCAGAGCAGTTGGCGGTGGTAACTGGGCACGATTTAGTTATACTAGACTCAGTCGGGTGGAGGCCATGGTAGTTGTGGTCTGTTAGCCCTTTGGACTGATCTTTCCCTTGCATCTTTTGTTTTATTCATTTTTCCTTCCTTCTGAAGGGGTGAGACCAGTGGAGTATCTTAGATGGCCACTGACAGGCTTTTGACACCCTAGACGCTACTCACCAAAGTAGAAGGTAGAACATTTTCTTTATAAACTATGTTATGCCAGTTGAGCTAGATGTTCCCTGAGACCATGGTCCCCACAGCCCTCCACCCAGCAATTCAGTCCCTCAGGGAGTTTGAAAGTGTCTATGGAGCATCCATGACCTTTCCTTGTACAAGTTGTGCTGGCTTCGCCAGTAATGTGTACTGTCTTACCCTTCACCAAAGTTACCACTCATCTATTTAGTTCCCCCCACCCACCCATCCCATCCCTCGGAACCAACAAAGATTGTTTCTTTTTGTGTGTAAACTTTTACATGGGTTATACAGTAGAGGTCTTATACAATATTTGTCCTTTTGTGATTGACTTATTTCACTCAGCATAATCCTCCAGTTTCATCCATGTTATGAGATGCTTCACAGATTCATCATTGTTCTTTATCTTTGTATAATACTCCATTGTGTGTATGTACCATAGTTTGTTTATCCATTCATCTGTTGATGGGCATCTAGTTGTTTCCATCTTTTTGCTATTGTGAACAGTGCTTCAATGAATATGGGTGTGCATATGTCTATTCGTGACGGCTCTTATTTCTCTAGGATATATTTGTAGGAGTGGGATTGCATTTTGTGGTGCTAACTTTTTTTTATTCCTCTTACTCTCCTGTGCTGAGCTCCTTTTGTTTGTGGTTTTTTTTTTTCATTTCTTTTGTTTTTGTAGGTTTTGTTTTTACTGAGACTTTATGTTTTTCTTCATTTTGATGAGTAGGTTTGTTAACTTCCTTTGTGGTTACCTTGAAATTTACCCGTATCTTCCTAGATTTGAACCAGTCTGTTATTACTTGGTATCACTTGACTTCCTCTCCATTAGAAGGTTCTGTACCTGCACCGTTTATTCCCTCTTTTATTGTTCTGATTCTGTAGTCATTTACAATTTAACCTCTCTGGTTTCTTTTTGTAATTCTTTTGGTTTTCCCTAGTCCTTAAGCATTCATTTCGTAGGTTGGTATCTGGTTAGTACAATCCTGTGTCCTATATTCAGCCTGTGGTCTGATATTGTTCTCAGATCAGAGGACTTCCTTTCATAAGTCTTGTAAGTTTAGTTTGGATTTTACATATTCCCTTAATTTCTGCTTATCTGGAAATGACCTAATTTTACTATCATATTTGAACGAGAGTTTTGCAGGATATATTATTCTTGGCCGGCAAATTTTTTCTTTCTTGGTTTTATATATGTCGTCCCATTCCCTTCTTGCCTGCGTGGTTTCTGCCGAATAAGCCAAGCTGAGTCTTATTGTTTCTCCTCTGTATGTGACTTTTTGTTTTTCTCAAGCTGCTCTCAGGATTCTTTCTTTGTCTTTGGTTTTAGTGAGTGTGATTATGATATACCTTGGTGATTTTCTTTTGAGGTCTATCCTGTATGGGGTTCATTGAGCTTCTTGGATGGTCAGCTTTTCATCTTTCATGATATTGGGGAAGTTTTCTGTCAGCCATTCTTCAGTGATCCTCTCTGTGTTTTCTGTTTTCTCCCCGTTCCTGGAACTCCGATCAGCCGCAAATTTTTGCTTTTGATTATATCCCACATAATTCTCAGGGTTTCTTCATTTTTCTTTGTTTTTTTCTGATTTTTCCTCAAAGTTGTATCCAGGTGTTTGTTTTCACTTTCACTGATCCTGTCTTCCATTGTTTCAAACCTGTACCT